CCCATTGCCTTCCAGGTCCCGTTCCGAATTCGGTAGTGCCAAACACAGGCCGAAAACGCGCCGAGCGGGCCCCTTTCTTGAATTGTGACATAGGCTTAAAGTGTGTATTCCAAAGAAGGGAAACCTGAATGAATGTGATAACTTAAGGGGAGTGACAATTCTTTTTTATACCAGTGAAGGTGTATGCCAAATGCCTCCTGAACCGCATGACAGATGCAGTAGGCAAGGTCCTCTGGGAGCTGCGAGCAACAAGCTGGCTTTCGCTCAAAGAGATCCTGTGCTGAGCAGATCTTCACCCTGCGGTGGAGGAAATGTGCTGAACTGCAAACCCCTAGCTATCAGATTCATTGATTTCTGCGAGGCGTTTGATAGCATCTAAAGTCCCTCTTTATCATGTACAGTTATGGACTGCCAAGTAAACTTATGTATGCAGTTAAACAGATATACTGAAACTCGAAGTGTTGTGTACGGACGGTTGAAGGAATCTAGATACAGCTGGTGGTTTGAAGACGGATCCTCCAAGGTTGTGTCCTGTCACAGATCCTCTTTCCCGTGGCTATCAACTGGGTACTTGGGAAGCAACAGGAGAAAAGGGCCGGGGTAAAGTGGGTTCCAGAGACAAAGTTTGCCGACCTTGACTTTGCAGACGACATAGCAGAAAACGCCAGAGATCTCCGACCCCTAGTGACCAACCAACATAGCCCGTCTGCAGACAGCATTGGGCTCAGCATCAGGGCCATCAATTAACATGCTGATAGGGACACACGCTCCTCTTAGAAGTGTGACCATTGACGAGAACAAATTGAAAGTGGCGGAGAACTTCACCTACCTTGGGAGCTCCACCAACAACAAAGGACAGATGGACAATGAGCTAGACTGTAGACTTGGAAAGGCCTCAGCAGCCTTCAACCAGCTTGACTTTGAAACCTACTATGTGGAAATCAGCCAAGAAAAGAGAAAAGAGACTGGAATCACTGGATGCTTCTGATAGTGAATGCGTGAGGAACATCTTAAGCATCAGACGACAGGACTTCATACCCAACACAGATATATGAGCCAGAGCTAACGAACAGCCAGTGTCTACAATCATACGCAAGCGGCGTTTCATGCTAGAAGACGTCTGCCATCTAGACTTAAGTAAACTTGTCTTCAATATTAAACAGGTTTGGGTCAGATAAACTATACCAAGGCATGTGCGTTTGCATGGAACATGGGTCGGAATTAGGACCCCTCCTTGCTGGCAGCCAGGTGCGTTAATAACAGACAAGGCCCAAATTTGCATATGTAGCAAAAAATAATGGTTCTATCTTTACTGAAATGGCTTAATTTAATTCGTTATCCCTCAAAACATGGGGATAGACACCAAAGTTATTCTGATACCATGAGTAGTTACTGAGATATTGACGAAAAACAGATTTTCAGTAATGGCCGCCCTAATTTGCATATTGCGCGGCCCAAATTTGCATATTTAGCAAAAAATAATGGTTCTATCTTTACTGAAATGGCTTAATTTAATTCGTTATCCCTCAAAAGATGGGGATAGACACCAAAATTATTCTGATACCATGAGTAGTTACTGAGATATTGACGAAAACTGGAGTTTCAGTAATGGCCACCTTAATTTGCATATTGTGCGAATTGCCCAAGGATGACAGAGTGGCATCATTCAGATTCTGAAAGAGCACACCTCAGAGATATAGAAACAACAAAAAAACTTTGTATGGACCGCATTGCAAGGTTCTCCAAAAATCGGGGGTTTGGCAACCGGACTAGTGAGGAAAGTCGTGTAAAGTGCCTTTCTCAAGGGCACAAGAACGGTGGCATGTCAGGACTCGAACTCGGGGCCTCTTGGTTCCGAGTCGATCACTCTGTCGCTACGCCACATGACCCCACGAAGGAAAGTTTAACTTGCCCAACATTGTGCCCCCTAAGCCTTGAGGAATGCATTTCACATGACTTTCCTCACTTCACTCAGGTGGAATTATTAACAAGCTTTGGTTAGGGACGTCCATCGGGTAGGTCGTTAGTATTACATGGAGGTCCCGTTTTGGGGGATATAGCCACACCCCTCGCACGTTAAAGAACCCACCACACCCTTCAAACAATGAATATAAGGGAATGCAACGGTGTCTAAATACTATTATCTGAAAGATAGACTTGCGGTCACTCCAGAAATAACTTGAGTGTGAAATCACTAATGAAGATCCTGATAAAACGAACAAGCAAACAAACAAATAAACAAACAAACAAACTCAATCGCTCCTTACTTGTTGAAGTTACAGATGGTGACGGTGGGAAAGTCCAGCACGTCCCGGAACTCTACCTTCATGTTAGTCACCGTGTCGAACTGGAAATACGCCACAAACCTGCAAGGGGAACACTGGATAGTCAACCATGACTAGGTCAGAATCGTGGTTACTCTCGAAGTAGAGCGTTTGGGCTTAGTTTTGGCGTGTTTTAGGCTTTTTTTTTAATCTGGCTTTTTTGGCACTAAAACGTGGTTGGCGTAAAAAAATACCGGTACAAAAAAAAAAAGAAAGCCCGGAAAAAAAATTAAAAGCATAAAAGCTTGGCCAAAACCCAAACCTCCTAACGTTATTCCTAACTTTAACGTAACGGTGGCCACTGTATTTTCTTAATGATCAAAGCTATTTCAGCTAAGTCTTCTTTCTTAAGCTTTCTTTCAAAGACACTATTTGTGCCTAAATTCTTTGCTTAGCTCTCAGAATCTTTGACAAATAGTATGGGGAGGTCAAACACACAACGCTATACCAGTGGACTAGCCCCCTGCTGTAGTGCTTGCACAATATTGTGTGGCCCAAGGGATATAGTTAATGGTGATGGGCACTACCCCTGTGCTCTGTACAGCTGAGTGGAAAGGGATCTTTGTGTTATGCATGTGAATCCATGTTCATGTATGACATGTTCCGACGAAACTTCCCTGTACATAGGCCAGTATATATCCAAAGCTTTAGTTAAAAGAAATCATATTATATCCGACACAACCAACTGATGTACACTCTAGTTTATACAATCATATATAAAAACTTGTACATTATCATGTCAGCCATGTTCCCTATATATACATGTACTATATCAACTTTTGAAATAGTGTGTTATTTTCGATACATAGAACTTGTAGTCACTGTAGACGTGACAGTAGATGTTAGCTAGATAATGTAGTACTGTTGAAGAGTTTGCCATGCATTGTACCCGTTACAATTGTTGTGCAATAAAGATTGACTTGACTTGACTTGACTTGACTTGACTTGACTTGTATGCCTGTTTATCCCAGAAAGACGTTTCTCACCTCTCGGTGATCTGCCACGTGGCGACGCCGAACATGCCCAGGAACAGTACCGCCCAGAGCAGGCGGACACCGCGGTGCCTCGCCCCGGCGATCTTCCCCACCCCGTGCAGGGACGTCTCCGCCGCGTACTCCCGCTCCACGCTGTCATCACCGCAGCAGGTCGCCATGAAGGATGGATTGAGGAAAACTGCAAAGAATAATACGGTGTTTTAGTCACGTTTGGGGACCGCATTCTTCAAGCCGCAACAACTTAAGGGGAGCAGTACAGAATCACATGGGAACAGCCTCTTCCAGGCTTCGGAAGGCGGCTGGAAAGAGTAGAAACCGACCAAATAGATAGATAGCATGCCAAGGGAGTTGGTCTGCTGGAGAGAACAGTTTGCCGCTCCTGTTCTCTCCAGCAGACCAACTCCCCTGGCATGCTTATCTCTCTATTTGGTCGGTTTCTACTCTTTCCAGTCGCCTCCCGAAGCCTGGTAGATTCTACAAAGCGGGCAATAACCGCTAGGCTAAAAGATCCGGACCTGTTGGACAGTTCTGTTGGTGTCACTTGTAACCTTACTGTTACACGGCGTATAGTAAAGATCCATCATCGGAACTTAATTATGTCTTCTTCTCGGTACAGATTGCCCCAAAGACGGTCGATTTGATCCTTTATTAGAATTGTAACTGTTACAATACAATACACGTGGTACACAGAGAGCTATTGCTGGTGTCGTGACCCACACATATTGCATTTTACATATTACATAATTGGACATATTACTTTTAAGACATAGAAAGACATAAATTCCTGTTCTGAAACAACAGTATCCTTTGAATAATCTACATCATCCTTGTCTTGACTTGTCTAATTTTTGTCTCCTTCTGGACTTCCAACAATTATATTCACTTATTTGCATATCAATCAATAAGTACGTAATATAAATCTGCCTTTCTCCTTCAATTTGTCTCTAGTGTCACTGACGAAAGTTACTAGTAGCGGATGCTACCTGAAACGTCTGACCGTTCTCAAAATCATATCCAGTTGCTTGCAGTGAGTAACTTTGTTTTTTTGACGTATCTTATTACCTGGATGTCTAACCTTCACCGACGTGTCCGATGTTATGCTTTTATTTTGATTACAAATTCATAATTCATAAACGACCGCACCACCACCCAACACCGGTGTGTTTATGATACACGTTGATATTGCAAATTATAAAAACAGCCCACTGGTGTGCTTTTATTTTTATTGCAAATTCATAATTCATTTACGACCGCAACACCATCCAATTTTTCAGAAAACACTCATATAAACAAACAAGAAATTGGATCTTTCATACCTCCGTCCTAATACATAATGATAAACATGATGTACCTTTATTCTACATTCATGCCACGACGGGCTAGGTACAGGTCAAGACTTAACATACACATAACAGACGTATGTAGAAAAGTGGAGACAAAATATGCACTACTTGACTTAGACATAAATACACACAAACTAACCATACATACATTATTACATTCCGAACTCAAACTACACACGGTTCTGTGGGGTCGTGTGGCGTAACGGCAGAGTGGTCGACTCGGAACCAAGAGGTCCCGAGTTCGAGTCCTGACATGCCACCGTGCCACCGATCTTGTGCCCCACGACGTTCCTCATTTGACTCAAGTGAAAATGAGTATTGTCTTGTCCTGTATTATTCGTCCTTTGCGTTGGTGGCGGCATAAAAATTATAAGTTGATATAATTTGAGTGTGCCGTTACCATGAAATGTTGGAATATAAAAAAAAACACTCCGACGTCGACTATCCGTCACCCCCCCTACCGTGACACACTTCTATGTCGCTATGAATAGCGCACTTACACAAACTTCAGGGAAGGAGAGCTTTCTTTTCAATGGACACTATATTTGATTATCTCGATCAAGCGTTACATAGATAGCACAGTACACACAGTGGTTCCACTAAGACCTTTTTTATATTCCAACATTTCATGACTAGACATGGTGACAGCACACTCAAGTTTAATACATCGACTTATTTTATGCCGCCACCAACGCAGAGGACGAATACAGGACAAGACATTACTCATTTTCACTTGAGTTAAGTGAGGAAAGTGCCTTTCCCAAGGGCACAAGATCGGTGACTCGAACTCTTGGTTCCGAGTCGAGCACGATGCCGCTATAGCTACGCCACACGACCCCACTAAGAACTTGAAAGTTAAAACTTTACCTGGGTTGCTCCCAAAGCAGAACAAATCCGTAACACGCACGTCGAGTCCAAACAAGCAGCTGTCAAGCTCCTTGGTCCAAATTACGATCCCTTGCAGTAGCGTACGCGGTAGTCGGACAGTCAGGTTCGAACCCCGTACCCCGGGTCTCTATTCAGACGCAATTAAGATAACTAATTGCCCACTGAAAACATGCGCACTGCCCTGTTATAGGTGGCTCCTTTGTCCTCACCCAAGGAGCATGTGACGGGTACTTGAAACGACTGGGCGTGGCTTGAAATGTTTACACGTGTGTTAGGGCCGTTGCCAAGGATTAAAAACCGCCGTCCTACGTAGATACAAAGATCCTAAGATCACCATATAAGATCAGTAATCTCGTGGATTTTTCCTTAGGCCACAGCAAGTAATTCTTATGGATGACATCAGCGCGCGCATTAATTTTCGCCTGATTTTGGAAAAAAACAAGAAATTTTGTTGCCTTCTGACAGTGGTCACCATGCCGAAAATAGGCCAAGATGTCTGTTGCCATGCCGGAAGGTAGATGGCAGATAACTATAAAGAGAGGAGACAAGAAAAGGCTCTGATTTAATGTTTTCTTTCTTACTTTGATGCAGTGATATGTGATGTTGGCTGTGTATATGTGATGTTCCCATTGAATCAAAACCATTTGTACAATGATTGAGTCAAAATTTCAAAATGTAAGAACCTTGTTTTTTGCCCGCTCGCATTAGATTTGGAATCTGTGGAGGATGTCATCCATAAATTTTACTTGCTGTGGCCTTAGCAACGAAACGTCAAGGAAACTACAAATGCTTGGGAGCTAGCACACTATTCCAAATGTTCAAAATTTCTTAACATTTTCTGGAAACCTTATGAAGTTAACTTTCTAAAATCACGCTAAATCATAGTTTATGATTAAAAAGTCACGCATATACACGGAATTCTGCAAACTGAACTTTGAAGTACATTTGATACAAATTTTATACGAAAAAAAAGAGTCATTTCCTCATATTATTACGCAAGAGTTCTATTGTGAGGTGGTAGTAATTTGGATCACTACGCAGTATGCAGTGGTCTTAAGCGCTTACCCCACCGGCCAAAAGTGGGATTTACAAAAAGCTAAAAATTCCCGTTAAATCTGTTCCGTACGTCCGGTCATGTCTGAATGAACAATAGCGATACATGCCAGGTGCATCTGGTAATCTCTGCCTGAAGCGTCAAATGCCAACAGTAACCATTACCGGCTTTACTGGACTTTCTCAACCCCACTTTCCGAATTCCGTGCAGCGTGCATAGATTTTTATTGTGTAATCGTCTTCGAATATGTCTTAATACTAGTAGTGTGTTTGCCTATGTTGTTTCATGTGCACAAATAATTGTTTTTAATGCTCTATGTACTATGTAATAAGGACGAAATTCGGGCATTTGCCCGCGAGAGCCTTACCGAATAAAATTTGATTTGATTTGATGTCTTCGCGGACTAAGAGGTTGGGAGTTCGAATCCCGGCTGTCGCTCACCCGACATGCTCGCTTCTGGAAAGGGTCACACAGTTCTTAGGACGGGACATTAAAACGTGGTCCACTGCTCATTGTGCTTAATTTTAGCCCCTACCAGGCACCGCGGATCGCTGGAAAAATAGTAGAAATTGGCCGAAATAGAGGGATAGTATACCAGAGAAGATCCAGGGCCATAGAAGACCCGTGGGTCGCGAATCGGATATTGCTACTTATAATTAATTTGTCGAAAAGAAAAATTCCCGGTACAATGAACCTTTAAATACTGTACATCAAGACATGGCGTCTGTCTTCTCTGTCACGACCAGTGGGAGGTTAGCTCTTCAGTGAGCTAAAACTGGTTCGAGACCACTTTCTTTATTTCTTTCATTCGTTTCGTTAAGCCATACATGGGGTCATCGACTCCTCCCTACAAGGTCAAGGCTAGCAATGTCCATAAATCGGTATCTGTCTTTTTTAAATACATATAATATTAACCTTCACAAAATAAGAGCATTACCATGGATTTACTTAAAATCGGATCTCTAAGTCAAGTGCGTGTCTGTTTTTTAATGATGTCCCATGGGTTTTCTGGCACGCAATAGTTAGTCACCACATAACGGTTGGAAAAATAAAAACTGTTACTTTACATTTCGCATTTTTGAAATGTTTGTCTCTCACTCTAAGCATGATTGAAGCAAAGGCCCAGTCACAATCTTGGAGAATGTCGCTCAAATTTTATCTGTCACCTTAGGCCACAGCAAGTGATTTTTATGGATGACATCAGCGCGCGCATTAATTTTCGCCTGATTTTGAAATAAAAAACAAGAAATTTTGTTGCGTTCTGACGGTGGTCAACATGCCGAAAATGGACAAAGATGTCTGTTGCCATACCTAAGAAGAGAGGAGACTATAAAGAGAGGAGACAAGAAAAGGATCTGATTTAATTGTTTTGTTTCTTACTTTGATGCAGTGATATGTGATGTTGGCTGTGTATATGTGATGTTCCCACTGAATCAAAACCATTTGTAAAATGATTGATTTTGAAATGTAGGCACCTTGTTTTTTTCGGCCCTGTCTTGTTTTTTTTTCGCCCGCTCGCCTTAGATTTGGAATCTGCGGAGGATGTCATCCATAAAATCTACTTGCTGTGGCCTTATGGAAAAAGCTGCAATAAATTCTGTTTGGCCGGTCGTTTGTTGTCATAGCCTGCTTGACATCTCTACAACATCAATCATTACGTGGCCACACCTTCACGCATTGGAGTTTGAGCACATTTTCTTAAATGAAGCCTGCTGTATTATCCTACCACTTCATTCAAGGAAACGCACCCCGGTCACCCCACCTTCCACAAACATTCAGCAACATTGTGGTCTGTTCCCTAGTCTCTACCAGACTAACTACGCTGGCCATATATTATAGGAGAATATTTGCCAGGGGAGTTTGGCCGCCTTGTAGGTTTGACTGGCCGCGCAGTTAGGAGGGAAAGAAACTACTACCTCCCCGCGGCCGGACTCCCTTGGCTAATTTTACTCTTTTACTTTGCCGAATTCTACGATCCGTATTCCCGTAGAAAGGTCTGGTGGAGGCTATTAGTATCTGTTCCCCGTCGCGGTGTTTGAAGGAGAAAGGTCCGCATCATCTTTAAATAAGACGGCTTCACGTTCTGGAAGAGCGAGTGGCTTTCTTGAAGAAAGAGCGAGAGAGATCCTTCAGACTCCATGCACTGATAACTACTGAAGAGACTGACTAGTTTTGTACTAAAAAACCTCCTGGGAGGGCGTGAACAATAACAGAGACAGAAAAATAGGCCGTGTTTATGTGAAGTCACCCAAGGCGCTTTACATGTGGTTTACCCCGAAGCCGGTTTCAAGTGGCTCCATCTGAACGCACCAAATCACATTGAAAGCGCCTCGATCCCAAGCCACTTCTAGAGGTGGTTTCAAATCGGTTTTCCCGCATCGCGATTTGCGTCTGAACGCAATGTGATTTCAATGTGACTTCGCCTCGTCTTGGATTACGGGGTGATATTTCTTTATTTATATGCAATACCAACTTTTACGTGGCAGCAACTTAAAGAGCAGTAATGGTCAAATAATGTGTCCGTTCTAGGGCGAGCTTCACCGCCTCTGGCGGGACCACGTCGGCATTCGGCCGAGATACGCTGGGAGGGGGGCATCAGCAAGCTGGTCGTTGACCTCTGACAATAATGACACGCTACCTTGCATGTTTTCATCAAACAACAATAAATGTAGCTCAGGCGAATTGTGATCGGACACGGTTTCAAAGGAATGTGTGGCACGTGGACCAGATGTGAGGAATGCGAGTTACCCAAATCGCGGTTTGGGTGACTTCACATAAACACGGCCATAGTCAAAACTTCTTCACCCGCTAATGAAACACCTATTCCTATAGTTAACAAGATAGGAAAATTCATACACATTTCATGATAGAACTAGAGTTCGGAGGTCTCATGCCTTCGACAGTGTGATATTGTTTTGGTGGGTGTTGTGTGTGTGTATAGTGTAGGTTTTTTTGAAGATGATAGTTATAGTGGCCAGAGAGTCTTTTTGTGAACGAAGCAACAGACTATTTCCCAAGCCTGTACCATGTCTTTCTACGGAACTACGGATCGTAGAATTCGGCAAAAAGGAGAGGAGAATAGGCCTGGGGAGTCTGGCCGCGAAAAGTTGTTTTCTTCCCTCCGATACGCGGTGATCCAAACTTCAAAACGGCAAAAGCTCCTTCAACTAAATTCTTCTTCTATGCAGCCAGTGTTGTTGAAGCGTGCGATGTCCAATACATTGAAAACAATTGCACTACAAAATCACACAAACTGGCCAATTGTTGTGATGGTATGTGGTATGTAAGATAAATGGGTTCCTTCCGGTGAGTTGCATCTCTCTAGCGGGCTAACTGACCCTTTAGCGGCAAACTATTCCCTTTTTTGGCCGTTTTCTACTATTTTTCCAGCGATCCATGGTGCCTGGTAGAAAGTTAATCTTCCCCCACAAGGAGACACTCATTGTGCCTTACTTGTTAGAGGGACCGTCGTATCAAACTTTTAGCAGGAAACAGCCCGACTTTCTATACCAGCCCGGATGGTGGTATAGATTAGCCCAGGTCCTCCGGGGAGTCCCCCAGAGGTACGACTGGCAGGGCTGAGGTGACAGCCTCGGGTGACCTACCTAACCGTCCCAGTCTATCCTGTCAATGCAATTTATCCAGGATAGAATTCAAATAAAATATGTATCCTAGTTGCAATTTAACAATCTTCAATTTTTGAGCTGGTAGTTATTTACTGGTTATTTCTCAGGTTGGCGACGCAGTTTGGCTATGTTAGTTTTCTTGTGGGGGCCCACCGGACCATAATATGGTCGTGAAAATCTATCCTTTCAAGGCAGAGCTTCTCTATTCCCTTTCCACACGACCCATTATGAAGAAGATTACAGGCATCAAACTCAAAGTCATTCATAGAATACCGCCGTGCTCCTCGCTAAAGCAACAAAGCTTAATAAAGATTAGATACTGTTCAATGCGTTCAGACCACCTTATTCTAGTGACCTGGCCATTGTGTACAGTATACCAACAATGTTCTCGATTAAAACAAAGTTTGTGACCTTATATCGGGTTTAAATCTTCAACTTCTGTTGCATAATACGATACGATATGCGCAAATGTACTACACAAGACTGCACAAATGTACATGCTAATGTTGTAGGGAATACAGGAAACCTATTCACATTATGCATATTCCAGATTTGCCTGGGTGCCAAACCCATAGCACACTGGACACAAAGTAGACTCAGTGAGCACTGAGATACTTT